GTCCAGTATATCAAATATATCAAATATATCAAATATGTCTGACATTTAGATCTGCAATATGCTGCGCCACGTTCATCGATCCAATCCTGTTACAATACGATGCAGATTCTGCTAGAGTTTTTTCAATGTGATGTGTTTTTCATGAATTTTTCCAGTAGAACTCGTTGAAGAAACTGATAAAAATCCTGATGCTGTTGAAGTAGATGATGATTCTAACGTTACTCTAAACACAAATAAAGGGAAAGGTGAGATATATTAAGAAAAAATAGACAATTTTTTCTTTTCAAGCTAAGCTTATACTTAATTGTTTTATAGGAAAAAATATATTAAAATGTTTATATAACGATAAAAAAATTAAAGAGGGTGATGAAATTAAATATGGGAAGGATCACATCTGCTTCTTAACTTTGATAAATTCTATTCCATGTATTATGTATAACGAAATAGTACATTATAGTATAGATGCTTTTCTTCAAGAATATCTAAAGGATATTCTAGATAGAGATTTGGCAATAAATTCATATTGCAGTGAACGATGCCTGTTTTCTATTAGAGGTATAAAGTATAATGATTTGAAAGACATGTGATATATTTTATGTGAATAAAACAATAAATTCATAGAAATTGACCATGAAATCCTTGAGTCATGCCCTCATGTAAAGTCGTTTATTTTTAGTATATCACGCAAATCTAATTAATAAAAGTATTTCACGTCACTTTTGTCATGCATTTTTTTATCATCTGAAATACACAGTACAATATTTTATTTATTCATGCACAGTAAGATGTCATTAGTTCATGTGAATTATATACGCAGAATATACTATGCACAGTAATATGCTGATTTCACAGATATGGCTATGTGATTGTGTATAACTGTAATCATTATTTTTAAACAGATCTATTAATAAACCCAACCAAGAGCAATATTTTTGTGTTACTATACTGATGAACTTTTTCTAGCGCTAAGCCGAAAGAAGTTCTGATATGTTCTATCTCACTTATTACGCAGTTCTGAATTACTAATAAAAATACACATTTCTGATTTATATTTTGCAGATCGTAAGTCAGAACGCTGTTAAAAAGA